GGGGGGGGGGGGGGTCCAGTTTCGGGGGGGGTTTTTGGGGGGAAAATTGCCCCTTTTGGGGTTGGGCTTGACGAAAAAACCCTTTTTTCCAGGGGTGGAGGGGGCTGGGAGATCGTTTTAGGGGTGGACTGGGAGTTGAAGGGGGGTTTTGGAAATTTTTTTTCCCGTTGGGGGGCCCCGGAGTTGGTTTGAAAAGGGGGGGGTACTTCACCCCAAGGAAGGTGGTTTTTCCCAGGAGGCCCCTGGTTTTTTTGGGGGAAAAAAAGGGGGAGGGAAAAATTCCCGGCCCCCCTCCGGGGTCCCGTTCCCCCCCCCCCCCCCCCTTGACAGCATCACAAATATTGGCAGACATGATGTGATCCTTAACCCCCCCCCCCCCGCCCTCCCACCCGGAAACCCCACAGACGCCGCGACGGCCCTTCGCGTGATGACCCTCCTGAGCGGGGTCGCTTCGAGGGGCACGACGGTCCTGTGCAGCCTTCACCAGCCGCGTCCCCGCGTGTTCAACCTCCTGGACCGGGTAATCCTCCTCTCCTGGGGCCGGGTGGCGTACTCCGGCCGCCCGGGCGACGCGGAGGCGTTCTTCCGGTCGGTGGGACGGCCGTTCCCCCGCCACCAGCCCCACCCCGCGGACGCGATGCTGACCCTCGTGTGCCGGGAGGACGGTCGAGACTTGCCGTCCCTTTTCCGCAGGTCTCGGCTGGCGAAGGGGGCTCCGCGGGAGGCCGCCGGTGGTAGGGCAGCAGCAGCGGCGGAGGCGGCGGAGGAGGAGGAGCGTGGCAAGGCGGAGGGGGGCGGGGACGTGTCCATCTCGGGGTCGCTGAACGGCGACGGCGAGCTGGAAGAGGAGACGGAGTTGGTGGAGGTCGGGAGGGGGTGCACGCGGAACGGCGAGAGAGAAGGGAGGTGGCGCGCGTCGCGACGCCGCCAGCGGCAGCGGCAGCAGCAGCAGCAACTTGCGCCTGAGGAGAACAAGAAGGGAGCAGGGGACGAGACTAGCTCGGCACCTTTCCTGGTCCAGGTGGAGGCGTTGTCGCGGAGGCTGCTGCTGAGGGCGGTGCGACACCCGTTGCTCCTCGTGTTGCACTTCGGGGGTTCTGTGGCGATGGCGCTGTGCCTCGCTAGCGTGTTTGAGGGGCGGCTTGGGTATAACTTGGCCGGAGCGCAGGACAGGCGAGTCGTTTAATTTGAGTCCGCTATTAGATGAAGAGGCGTAACTATTTCACAAGGCGTCAACCATTAGATTGCCCGGTCAGCTGACCGAGAAGTCTGATGGTTATGATATCCGGCGCAAACCATATTGCGAAGAACAGAGAGAGGATACAGCACGGGAGGGGGGGAAGTGAGTACGAGGTTGCTGGGAAAGCGGTTGCTGTCATGAGTAGAAAATTGCTTGGTCTCGATGCGTCTGCACTGAGCTTGTCTCCGGTCGGTGTTGGCTGTGTCTTTTCCGTCGTCATCTTGGCGCCGCCTCGTCTCCTTTTTTTTTACCGTGTTCCCCGCGAAAGAACGAACTTGACTACTCCACCCCTCGTGCTCTGACCCCCTCCCATTCTTCCTCCACAGCAGTGTTTCCCTGGGCTAGCAGACGTCGTACGTGTGCTTTCTCACTCCCTTTGCCGCACCTTGCTCTCCCCTCTTACCTCATTACTCTCCCCCCAACCGCGTCCCACGGCGCCTCCCCCATGGGTACAGGTTCGGAATCCTGTTCTTCTTGCTCCTGTACCTCGCCCTTCTTTCTCTGACGTCGCTGCCGGTGTGGCGGGAAGACCGAAGACTTTTCCTCTCTGAGGCCATGGGAGGAGCGTACGGCCACCTACCCTACTTCACTTCGGTGTGTATGTTTTTGCTGTTTTTGCGTTGGCCGCGCTAACCGGCTGAGTGACGGATGAAAATACGTTAGTGCCGGGGGTTAGTAATCACAGTCCCGGAAGGGCAATGAAAAGTCGTCAACCATTGAAAAGACGTTATTATAGTGCCGGCCGTTACTAATCAAGATCCCTGGAAGGGAACCAAACTCGAACATTGCGCAACGCGCCGAATGCGAAATTTCTGTGTCTGTGTCTCTTTTGTATCAGCATCGACCACGCTGTTCAACATGCCAAGTTGCCCCCACGGATAATGTTCTATCCAACCAGGTCGGAAAAAAGTAGATTAAATTTCCGAGAAGCTTAAGGAAGACTCGGGGCAATGGAATCGAGCTATCATATCATGCGAGAACCCAAGAAATCACCCCGACACAATTGGCCAACCTTTGTCGTGATGGCCTGGTTTTGTTGTTTTTCCGAACCTTCGATCGTCCAGGTGGCGCTGGCGGACATCCTCTTGATCAGGGTCCTCCCGCCGCTGGCGTTCGCGGTGATGGGGTACCCCTTGATGGGCCTCAACTCCGAGCCGGATAACCCGGGCTGTCTTCTGTGGTTCGCGGGTATTCTGGTGAGTTGAGTCGGTTCTTGTGTCGCGTGTGACGTGTGACCCGGGATATCATGTACGGGGGGGTAAGACGGCGCTCGGTAGGGAGATATTTTTGCTGGGCGCGACTCGGGGTGTTTGATGCCCCCAGGCCGCCCCCCCGTTGTGTAGCAGTGGAGTGGTAGTAGTAGTAGTAGTAGTAGTAGTAGTAGTAGTAGTAGTAGTATTGTTGTTGATGTTGTTGTTGTCGTCGTCATCGTTGTCAAACTCCCACCTCTGCTCCTTCAAGCTGGCCCTATGCTGCATACATGCAAAAATACGGCGTGCACTCGAACGCTCTACGATGTACATGCAGGTGCTTGCCAACGTGACGGTTGCTCTGGCGGCGATGGGGATTGGCGCCCTCGGTCTCCCCCTAGACCTGTCGAATCTGATCGGCGGTCTCATGGTGCTGCTCCTCGCAGCCTTCGGGAGGTTCCTCCTCAACGGCACACGCATCCCCGTGGGTGAGGAACGTCTGCTCACGTGGAACTCCCCCCCCCCCCCCCGTGCAATATTCGGGTTGTAATTTTCCCGCAACTTCTTCTCCGAGTGGCATTATACATGAAGGTAGACTCGGGAGTTTGTTTGTCAGACGAGGGTTACTTTCTCTCCATTTTCCCCGAGGATGGTCCACCGTTCTGTGAAGTCTTTCGTTGTTGGCAGTTGTCTTCTGGGTGTTCGCAGAAAGGGAACGCGCCCGGCCTGCATTTTTTCTTAAGTTGTTATCGCGGAAGCAGCCTTAGGTTTGTTTGCTTCTCTTGTTTTCTCGTGGTTGGTGTTTTTTCCCGTAGGGTGTAGCCCGCGACTGGCAACCGGGGAGGAGGTGGCTAAGTAACAGCGGGTTTGATTCCACCATGCGCCAGTGTCTTACGATGTAACGCCTCGTTCTCTTTCTGAAAGCACCTGTGGCGCATGGTTGAATCAAACCCGCTGTTACTTAGCCATCTTCTCTGGTTGAAGCGAGGCACTTGCTCAGCGGAGTGTTGTTACAATTTTTACTTTTCCAGCAAGCGCGAGTCGCGTTTGTTTTACACGTGAGAAGCTAACGTTCCGCCTTCGTGTGCTTGCGTGCGCATTGCCGGGGGGGGGCTCGCGGCCTGTACTATTCCCTACCTGTACCATACCTACCTGTTGCAGCGTGGAGGTGGCTGAACTCGGTGACTCCCCTGGGCTATGCGTTCGAGGCCCTCCTGATCAACGAGTTTAGCGACGCCGACGGAAGAAGACCCTACCGGATAGAAGGCAGCGTGAGTCTTTCTCTCTTGCTCCCTGTCTCTCTCTCTCTCTGTCTCTTGTCTCTGTCGCTCCCTCTCTCTCTGTCTTTCTCTCTCTCTGTTCTCTGTTCTCTCTTTTTTTTCTCTCTCTCTGGACCCTTGCGCCGGCCCCTTATCTATTTAACGTGGGACTGTCTCCGTGTATTGGTGTATTCGTGGGACGTTGAGGTAGTAGAACCCGTCTTTGCGTCCAGGAGGTCTACGTTTGTTGTAGGTTGTGATTGGTCAAGCCGACCGTCCAGACACACGTAAGATATGCCTGATGGCGAAGGCGCTCCTTGATTGATGGGCTTTTGACGGCGGCAACGCGGCAACACTACCAGTGTTCACTGGATCGAACACAGCTTCTGTCTCCTGGTGAACAACAATTGTCCATACCAATATTTGCGTAAGGTTCGAGGAGTGGCGGTTTGGTTTCATCATCATGTTACGAAGGGAGG